GATAAAGTGATCTTCGGTTCGCCCGATGACGACCCACCCTATCTAAGTGCAGAACAACAGAACGTAGAACTTGTTTAATCTAACATGATTCTCATTCATAAAGGGTAAATGTGTAATAACATGCAAAGCCAAGCTTTCAGTATATAACACTAACAACTTCATCATTAAGCAAGCCTTATTATCAACCTTTTAGACTTAAACATCTTTTAAAATCATCAAATTGCCCAAGATCCAACTCCACCAAGCATTCACAAGAACTATATTTTCAATTCGGCCCAGAAGGTTGTTAGCATATTTTTGTTTTTATCTTCGGTGCCAAAATGAATGAATAACAAATTATTAAAAATGTCATATTGTTTTAGTAAATTAAAAACAACTTATGTTATTTTTTTAGGCGTATTTATACAAAGATCGATTGCATTTTACACAAATTTGTACACTTTTTTGTTGATATAGTAATTTTTTATTAAAAAAAATAAAATAGTACTGCCGCGTAATTTCTTCTTGTCTGCTTAAATTTGACTTAAAAAAATATTATAATTTATTTCAAATACTACTATGAAATGAACGTTTTATTATTAGGTGGGTCAACAAAGCAACTTGTTATATGATATTTCACTTAAATTGTAGAAGTCTAAATGTCATCTTATTGAATAGGCAGGTTAACCGAACATACTTGTTATATGATATGTTACTTAAGTTGTGAAAATTTAAATGTTGTTCATTGAATATGCTATGCAAATTAATAAAATTAAATTATATTTTTTACATATTCAAAAATCGTTTATTTAAAAGTTAACAAATAATTTGATATATTCCACATATAAAGTAATATAAATAATATAAATTAATCATGTCTTACACCAAACATTAAAAAATTAAAACAAAGAAGAAATAATGACAAAGTAAGCTATAACCACAAAAAATACATAAAAAGTTTGAGTCATGTCAAAAATATATATAATTTTTTGATTTTATATAAAATAAATTTAAATTAATATGAACTAAATAATAATTAAAAAAAACATGGGCTGAAATATTTTTTTACTACTACATATTTAGGACCAGAATGGAGCCCGAGTGAGCTACCCCTTGTCTCCGCCCTAACTGCTCAAGGGCAGGCGGCCTCTTCCTTGTCTTAGCAGAGACTAAGCATGTGGTGGTGCTCGAGGTAGACAACAGGGTGTCGCCATTGGAAAACACAATCTCGGTGATACATATCCAATGTCTCCCATCAGAAATGTGGGTCTCTTCGAGATTGGATCTGATGGTGTTGATTTGGGCGTAATTTAGGAACAACAAAGAAAACCTTTCGGGGGTGTCTGTTTACAAATTTTTTCTAATTTATAAATTTAACTCAACTTTAACCTAATTTCATTATTTTTATTATTATCAATATAATCTATATATCTATATATAAAAGGTTTGATTATTTTTTAAATAATAACTATTTCCCTAAAAAAAAAAAATCTATTTACTATTTCAAGAAATTAATTTAATACTTTATGGTATATATTAAATGATCACTTATGAAAATTACGGCTTTATTTAAAGAAGTAATTAATCCATATTTTAAGATATCTTAATTACTCAAATCATGTTAATTAATTAATATATGGTATAAAGTGGACAAATTTATTTTTGGTATTGATGGTTATTTCTATAGAAAATAAATTAATCAATAGATTGTATAAAGTGAGCAAATTTATTCAGATTATTTGATGACTGTTTTTCGAAATATTAATCAATATACGGTGTACCTTTTTTTTTGTAATGAGCAGACCAATATATTGATTTTAGGCGTGAGTTTCAATTTTACGTATGAAATTAACATAATAAAATTATCGTAACTCCGACAAAATAATATGAACAGATATTTTGATATAATGTGCGTGTATCGATGTTTCTTTTATAGAAAAAGCTCTGGTCATTTTCACAAATAATTTTCGTGTGAAATGCACTGTCATTTTTTTAGCATGATAAGAAGTGTATTTATAATATTATTTAATGAGAATTTTTAATTTATAGATATTAATGAATATCTCTTACCCGTGTATCGCACGAGATTCGTACTAGTTAAATAATATCAAACAATCATTTTTATACATCACATCACTTTTTAATTCACTATTCATACACTCAAATAATTTTAACTTACCATTACTTCACACTATCACTTCTACTTTTATATCGAATCACCTTTAATTATTTTATTTTAAAATTATTTTAATATAAACTTATAATATCATTAACAACTAATCATACTAATATTTTCAAAATTAATCTTAGTTAACAAAAAAGGATTGTGAACATATTTGTTTCTATGCACACCATTCCTCTTTTATATTTGTGCACGAAATCAACATAACAAACCACCAAATGACCAAAAATCTGCCTCTCTCCCTTCCCACGGAATGCTCTTAATTGGGCCTTGACACATTTAACATTTTTAACATTAAGTCCAACACACGCCCTTTAGGTCCATTGATAAAGAATTAAATGTGAGCTCACATAACATAAGCATCCTAGCCCACCATGCACGTTGTTCTCCGTTCATCATGGGTTTCAATGTACTGTAAGTTGGAAATTGTCACTCTTCATTCAAATATACATATGTCCAGTTTCAATATTTCCAAGGATTTATTTATAACTAGGGTTGGTATCAGTTCAGTTATAGAACCGATAAGAGCAAATCGATACCGTATCAATTATTTCTGTAACAACAAAATATGAAACCATTACCGTACCGATAGTTATCGGTAACCGAATATTCGGTTACTGAAAACTCGGTTCCAAAATATACCAATAAATATACAATTTGATTAAGCTCGGTTCGGTAACGATTTTTTACCCAAAAAACCAAAATTTACCAATTATAATGCAACTTGATTAAGTTTCAACTTTCATGATGAATTTTTAGTTACCGAAAACTCGGTTCGGTTTTGGCTTTGAACCGAAAAAATCAAAAAAAAAAATACCAACAAAATGATTCCCATTTCCAAGGCTCCCAGTATGTTCCTAGTGGCCACTTCACAGCATCAAGAAAAAAGTCTCAAGTTCACTTCCATATTCACATGCTACCAACATGTTCATTGTTCACAGGGCTCTGGTTTTCTTTCTTCCTGTTGGAGTGATGAGTGAGAAAAATTTAGTTTTTTTNAATTTATATAATTTAAAAAAAATAAATGAATTAAATTAAAAAAAAAATGAGCCTAATGTAATCACTATTAACGAATACTCTAATAAAATATTAAATACTAGATTAAAGTACTAATGTCTAAATAAGTAATCTGTAACTATATCTATAAGTCTGCTAAGTTTTTTATTTTTTATTTTTTTTTTATCCTTATTGGTTCGGTTCTGTTCGGTTTTACCGAATCCTTAAGGTTTCGGAACCGATAACGAATCGATAACATTTCTGTAACCGATTTTCGATTACCGTTACAAGCGGTTTAGTTCGGTTCGATTTTTTTTCTTGTCGGTTCGGTTCAATTCGGTTCGATTTTCGGTTCAAAATTACCAGCCCTATTTATAACCACAGTTTTTCTGGACAGAACTGGCGAGTCGACTCGGGATCCAATTGACCCAAATTTGGGACCAGTCCTGATGGATGCTTCAGACCGGGTGATTCAGACCCTGTCAACTCGGCTTCATCCAGTTTGACCCGTCCCCTAAATGTTTTTATTTTTTTAAATATTCTTTTACTTGAAAAATAAAAACTATGTATAAATATTTAGAAAAATGCTACAAGTACATAATAAATATACATAGAGGTGTACATAATAGTCACGTGGAGTGAGGTCTACTTGATTTTTTTATTTTTGGTAGGTCCCACTCAATGTGAGTGTGATGTAATGTACCTATAACATTTCTCAAATATTTATATGATAAATATCTATTATAAGGCATAATATTATTAATACTTTGATGTACGAAATTTATATACAAATCATTTATTTCAATTACTTTTATGTATATTTATATGATAAAAATTATATATATATATATATAGGGGGTGGATCAAATGCGCCCAGCTCTTAAAATGCGTCCAGCTCTTAAAATGCGCCCAGCTCTTAGCAACTACAAACAACTAACTTAGCAACTACAGAAAACAACCTAGCAACTACTAACTTAACAACTACAGAGAACTAACCTAGCAACTACATACAACTAACCTAGCAACTACAGAGAATTACCTAGTAACTACAGAGAACTAACCTAGCAACTACAGAGAACTAACCTAGCAACTACAGAGAACTAACCTAGCAACTACATACAACTAACCTAGCAACTAACCTAGCAACTAGAGAGAACTAACCTAGCAACTACAGAGAACTAACCTAGCAACCTACAGAGAACTAACCTAGTTGGAAGATTAGTTGTCAATGATCAACGCCGGAAGTCAACGATTTTCGCCGAAAGTCATGCCGGAAGTCAACGGTCAACGCTGGAAGTCAACAGTCAATGCTGGAGTCAACGGGTCAAAATAATTTTTAAATAATTAAAATAATAAAAAGAAAAGAGTAAATCTTGGCCACACATGATGTACCAAATCTTATGGCTAGGAATGAGTCTCACGTCCACACTTTAAATAATTGGATTCATTAGAACCAATCCCTATATTTATCAATTAACCCGGTGACTCAACGGTTGGATCGGTGACCGGATTGAAAAACTTAGTTTATAATTTTATATTTCATCAATGGACAATCATTGTCCATATAGCACAGTCTCACACAATTATCCTTCACATCTCATCACTACTCTTGTTTTTTGTCGCATTATTTTATCTAATTCGGTAAAAAAGAATCATTTCAAAATGAAGGACATGAATCAATATGGCTCTCAATTCCCCCATTAAAAATAATAATAATAATAACAATTTTCATCACCAATAGCCACACGTTATTCCTTGTCTATAAAATGTCCCATTCTATCTTGAAAATTCAATAGCCTTTACAAAAACTTAATTAATCTCTCTACTTGTACGCCCGCATAATATGGACACGTCGACGCTGAAGTCACTGAGTGTGGCGGATGCCGTGCCGCCTCCACCAGCTCAGCCTTCCCCATGGGAGTCGCCTGTGCTGTACCTATTTGGCGTGTTATCTGTAGTTGTGGGGCTTATTGCCTTTGCCATCTTAATTCTGGTCACTTCATACAGGAAGCTGACAGCTGGCAACCTGGACAGAAGGTACGATGATGTGGAAGCCAGAGAAAAGTCGGGGCCTCAGTTGATGGAAGAGAAGTATCTTGTGATTATGGCCGGGCAGGAGAAGCCCAGTTTCTTGGCTACGCCGGCAATGTGGAGCTCAAGGGAAGTTGTATGTAGTAATTAACTGCGCCGAATATATATAGTTCGCCATTAGAGGAAGTTTGTGGGAACTTGGAGGCCAATGGGGATGTATTGGACCAGGCCCATTACCAATTTTTTTTTTTAAGTTTTATTTTTATTGTTATTTTTTTCAATTCTATAACTATAGACATGGATGGAGACAACCTTATATCAAACTCATTCAAAGACGTATTTTGCAAATGGTATATTGAGGAAAAAAAAAACTGTTTATATGTAGTTGATTCTCCATTATGCGATTGCTAAGCTCTAACATCCATTGTTCCTCCTTAAGGTTAGACATGGCCTTTTTTTGGGACCCGGCCCGGCCCGGCCCGACCCAACGGGTCGACGGGCTTGAAAACAGGATGTAGGTACGGGTTGGTTCATCTGCCCGGCAGCTCGAGACTGGTTCAACCCGGTTTCCCGTCAGTTCGGCCGGTTCAACCGGTTTTGGTTTTGGCGATCAGGCCAATTTTTATTTAAAAAAAATTGATAAGGGGAAGGGGTGTTAAACAAATACTTGAGCTTAGTTGACATATTATAAATTAAAATATTAATTAAGGTGAAAAATATTTTGGGTTACAAAATGGTATTTTAACTTGTAATATGTCAATTGAGTAGTCTATGTATCATTTACCTTGGGAAACAAAGTCCTCGTGGTTCTCTTACTATACTTACCTTGATAAAAGTAGATGACATGATTGAACCGACTGTCTAGTCCCTCGTAGTCGTATGTGTCGTAGTCCTCTTCATTTTCGGCGATTGCACCAGTAGTAGCAGTAAAATTGGATGCTTCATCATCTTCAACAGTTAGCATGACCTTTTGTGCGCTTATTTCGTCCTTCTTCCATTACTCAGCAGCATTTGAGCCTCCAGGTGTTGTGGCATCAACCTCGAACGTCATGCATCCAGTGTATATCCTCCTTTACTGAATGTTTTTTCAACCGCCACTGTTGAGGACACTACAGAGAAAATCTCCTTGGCCATCTAGCATGGAATTGGCTAAATGGGAGTCATCTTTGACCACCAATTCAAGACGTCGAATTTTTGTGGCGGAACTGGTTCACGAGCAATCGTAAGTATCAAATTCGCCGTGAGGTAGTGATCGAGCTCACTGTATAAAGTCCCATTTGCCCTTTTGGATCTTAGCATATTTGTAGGGATTAAGTCATCCCACCAGTCATCAAAGTTTTGTGTTTGTTGCGCCGTTTGTCCCCATTTTTTCCTCCACAAAGGGGGTGACAAATTTCCTTAAGCTCGGGTATAGATGAAGTATTAGTACTAGAATTATCAAAATAAATGAGCAGAAGTTTTTTACAAGTTCTATAAATATTCAAGACAAGTGAAACTAAATAAACGATATTGGAAGCAGTGTGAGCATTATAAATTCCCGTATAAGCAATTAAACATTTTTGTAATGTAAACCTATCATCGACCAAATGACAAGTAATTTCCATGTAAAAATTATCTGGCCAATGGCAGGATCTAATGTCACAACAAATAGAAATTATTTGGTTTGAAGCTTTAAAAATTTGCGCCAAAATTATTTTTTTCACTCTCACAATTTTCTGAATATCACGAGTGAGAGTAGTACATGGAACCCGAGACATAGCCGGGTCTAAAGCCATTTGAGAAAAGTTTTCATATAAATTAGAATCAGCAAAATAGAAAGGAAGAGACGAACAAAAAAAAAAAAAAAAAAATCAGCTAGTTGTTTTCTATAATTTTCATGGAAGTATTGTAATAAAGTAGAAGACTTACCTGTGGATGCATGACTACTCATGCCTGGGAGTTGTGTTTGGGTCGTGGAAATCCCCATTTCGGCCGGATGATGACGTTGCATGTGCCGTGTCAACGTTCCGTACTCATCGCGAGTTTTGAAAGCGTACTTCTTTTTGGAGTTAGCCGGACAATAGTTGCAAATACATGTGAAATGTGTCACCTTTTTTCTCATCGGGCACCTTCATGAAGTAGTGTCCATATAATTTGGATCTTGTCGAGTCTCCAGCGTCATCCGTCTGAGTGGACCGCTAACGTGGAGGTTGTTGAGTTCCTCCACCTTAGGTAGGATTGAACCCGTCTTCATACGAATGCTCCTAGTTCTTATCCTCCAATTGTATGCTCTCGTGGATTTCCTCAATAGAATGAAGATGCGTTGAACCGTCTCAGGCTTAACATCATCGGGAAGACCTAGAATGTCTCCGTGTCGACAGTGGAGATCTACTTGAAGAAGATTCACCTACATATGTTCGCTATTGTGGTGGCCGATCACCGGCACGACCACTACCATGACCACCACCACGAGAACTCGATATTTTATAACTAGAATGGTTTTTATAAAAAGCAAAAGAGAGGTGAAAAATGATAGAATTAGAAAAGAGAGAGTATTATGAATAACATACGAAACCCTTTTTTTTTGTGGTCTATCCTTCAGCTTCTATGGCCTCCTTCTCTTATCTCCTAACTCCTTGCCTTTTCTCTTCTTTACTTCCCCCCACCGCAGCTCCTCTCTCAAGCGTCTAAAAGACCACCTTCTTCCCCTTTGCCTGACTAGAGTTTCCCCGATCTAGCTCCGGCATCAAGACCTGATTCACCCCTGGCAAACTGATCCTCGGGGTAATAGTGCTTCTTCCCTGCTAGACCATCCCGGCGGTGGCCCAGCTTCAAAAGGTGTTTTAGCCACCCACACATTCTCCAAACTCTCATCAAGGTTTTTTCTTCCAGCGCTCATCCGCCATAGTCATCTTCTCCATCTTGGATGAAAATGGTAGAGAAATGGTAAATGTCCCATAGACAACGCCAATTGATATTGTGTTGCACCTCAAACCGGCCTTCCGTTTGTCCTCCAACCATTTACTCCCCGGACCTACAAAATACGTCAGGAGGTGTTTCTGGCGTAAAACTTCTGACGGTCAAGGGACTATGGAAAGTAGTATGTGTCATAGACAAAGGTAACTCGACTGACTAAAAGGAGAGGGGCTCTTTTCATGCAAGATCAATCCCTTATCACCAGTGTATTGTAATGCTTAGAGTGTATAGAGTCATTAACCTTTTACCTTTCATCCCTCTCGAATATTAATAGTGAAACATTGGCTTATTGAACAAGCTTTACCTTGCCCGAGTGCCCGGACTACCCGCCTGCCCAGATGGTTATTTGGCTATCCCTAGGTCTGCCCGAATGAAATTCCTACCCTTATGATCATTTAGTTTATTTTCCTTGTAGCCCTACATGTATCCCCTATCTACAGTTTGACCCTGATATGTTATGTTATCTGAGTTCTCTTATGTCCCAGCTACGGACACACCTAGGTTTGTCTGAGCTATTTGGTTCCTTAACACCTCATTGTCGAATGTCTGAGTTACTTGTCTGTTATGTTATTTGAGGTTGCCTTATGTCCGAGCTACAAACACACTTATGTTTGTCCGAGCTCCTTGCTTCCCTAACACTTCACTGTCAAATGTCCGAATTACTTGCCTGTTATGTTATTGGAGTTGTTATATGTCCGACCTACGGGCACACCTACGTTTGTTTGAGCTACTTGTTCCTAACACCTTATTCTCGAATGTCTGAGTTACTTGCATGTTATGTTATCCATGTCATCTTATGTCTGAGCTACAAAAGCCTAGCTTGTCCAAGCTATTGACGCTGTGTTATCCTTGCTACTTTGGGTGCGCACATATGAACCGGCAAAGACCCCCTAACTCGAGTAACTTTAGGGACCACTATTCAAGCTAACTCTAGCCGATTTACGCGATACACTATGTGTCATACGTGATCATATATCTAATTAATATGACACATTTGTTTACGGAATTCATAGAGGAATACAATGAAATTATGCATGGTCAAGCTTAAATTGAAGAAGAAAAGACCAGTCTTCGTCACCTTTTGTTAGCAATACATCTTTAAAAAAGTATAGTCAATAATGCACATTTGACAGCTACGGGTCAAAGTTCCCTTTACCCAACACCAATCGATCCAAAAGTTAATGGCTCGTGATCGTGAAGATAATACCTATCAATAAAGGTATATAAATTTTCTTTTACTTAAAATACCGAACACTACAAAAAAATGATGAAATTTCAACGAAAATGTATTTCAATAGAATTCAATGGAAGTTATACCGTTGGAATTTCTATTGAAATATATTACCATATGATTTTTCATTGGAATATAACAATTTTTTGTAGTGAAAGTCTATTACCAATTATAATTTTTACAGTATTTTCTGCTTTAAGACCTAAATATACACAAAGTAATTCAAATGCATCATCTGTTCTCGGCATTATTATTGTTTTTGTTTTCTAATCTGCTTTACAAGATCTACATAATTCGGCTATGAGTATGAGATTTTGGTTGCTAATTTGTCTGATTAATACTAGATTTTAAGTCAATATATAGATAATTAGTGCACTTCGGAAATTCATTATGTTCATCTCAAAATAATTATAACCTCAAAACGAGTCTTATGCTTGTAACCATCCATCAGTTTTTATTTTTAAATAAGCAAGGCATATATAACATTTATGTTTCTAATTATTTCGTTGTCCTTTGTTCTTCTTTCTAATTTGATCGTTAATTTAAACGTCTCTACTAACTGAAGTAATAAACATGGCTAGTG